TGGCTGATCTAGAAAAATAAGAAAACAAAGTGTATTTATTTTCCCGTCGATGTGTCTCTCTTAGATTATAGGGATCCATGAGGTGATGACCATGTCTAGTCTGTGCCGTGTGCCCACTTCATGGCCAAGCTTGTTTGTGTGTTTTTCAGTCGACTGTTTTTGCACGGAAATCTTAGAGTCAGGATGTGCTCTGTGCCATCAATCAGATGGTTTACATGTTCTTTGTTCAATTCTTCCGGAGAATTCCTGCCCTTGGCTTTTGAGGAGGAAAATGACAGGGGTCAGAGAGGGGTGGGACGGGAAGGAGGAGGGCTGAGTGCAGCCCCTTGGCTAGGACGCTAGGAGACATGCCTCCCACTCAGGCCTGGTCTGGGGACCTCCTGCTCTCCCGTACTGATCACCAGGGCTCCCGAGCTGGAGGACACCAGCCCCGCTGACCCACTTAGAATAAAATGTCAGAGCAGGAAGGGAGCCCAAGGGTCACTGAGTGACGTTTTGCAGGTGAAGAAGGTGGAGAGAAGTGACTTGGTCACACAGCTTCTGGGCGTGAGTCCTGGACGATGCTCCTTCCACACCCTAGACCTGTGCCCCAACAGAAAGTTGGGGAACATTTCATGGTCTAGGATGGAAGAACGGGAAGTGAGGGGCAGTTGAGTATTCCATCAGGACATAGGCTTTGCCTCCTGGTGTCACCGCTTACTGGGTGTGTAACCTTGGGCAGGTCACTTCCCAGATTTCTCATCTGTCCAAGGGGAAACTTAATATCTGTGATGATGACAATGACGATAACTACCTCACAGGGTTGCTGTGAGAGTTTGGTGACATTCCTGTGAGGGAATAAGCCCTTCCTTGATAGAGCTCACGCAAGCACTGACTGTGTGCCAGGCCCTGGGGCTGCAACAGTGAGTGACCTAGATAGGTCCCACCCCGGCGGAACTTGCTCACTTGGTGTTTGTCCTATGTTTTGTTCTCCAAAGACATCTTCCTTCTGGCTTCTATTTTCTGCTTATGTCAAGTAGACTCTAGGGGATGCTCCAGACAGGGCCTTGTCTTTCTCAACATGGACTGTAGGTACCAAAACATTAGCATGGGGGCAGGTGGCCCAGCCCCATTGAGCTGAAGACACAGCTCTCGGCCTCGTTGACTCAGAAGATCCATGAACCTAAGGGCATTTGCTGTCCTGGGATGGATGGGAAGGGGGGCGTGGTGAGCCTCCCTCCCTGCTTAGAGAGTTCTCATGCATTCCACTTCTTTCCCCAAAGGAAAATATTGGCCCTTGAGAAGCACACAGTTCGTTTATTTTACATAGCGAATAGCTGCCCGTGTTTTTAGGGATGATTTAATTTCTCCAGTGGCCCCTGTAATTTGTTCGGCTTCCTACTGATGTGCCTGACTTTCTCCAGCCCTGCAGGGGTGATGCTGGTGGGTGGTATCATCATCTGCTCTGTGGGGCTGAACAAGGCAGCCTGGCAGCCTTAGGGTTTATACTATGGATACATGGGCTGCTTGCCAAGCTCCAGGAATGAACCTCAATTCTCCTGCTCCTGACTTGAAATCTTATGGAAACCTCGAGAAGCAGCTGAAGAAAACCCAACATTAAATGCAAAAATCCACACTGAAGATATAGGCAGTGACTTAAATGCTCAATTCTTGCTAAGACTTAACTTACAGATTTTTTTAAAAATTATTGAGAGGAAAGAAGACATTCTTAAAAAGCCAAAAGCAGAAGTCTGTAAGTAATGGCCCACAGGCCAGATCTGGCTGTGAGCTAAGGATGGTTTTTACATTTTCAAATGGTTGAAAAAAAATGAAAACAAAAATGACATTTCATGACATGAAAATTACATACAATTCAAATTTCAGTGCCCATAAATAAAGTTTAATTGGAGCTCAGCCATGCTCATTCACTTACATACCTGTCGTCAGTGGCTGCTTTCCTGCTGCAATTAAATAGAAAGAATTAGATCACTAAAAACATAGCAGAAAACATTGTTGATCTTTATGTACTATACAGCAATGGAATAAGTAACAAAATAAAATAGATTTGACTGTATAAAAATTGAAACCTGTCAGCCAGAAGCCATCAGAATTCAAAGCAAAAGGCTACCAACTGGAGAAACGATCTGTCACAAATAGGATAAAGGGTTGATGTTATTCATAAATTAAGAGCTCATTCAAGTCATTACAATGAGCACCGAGACCTGAACAGGGAAAGCAAAAGGTATAAATGGACATCTTATGAAAGAGGAAGCCAACACATCAGATTTTTACTTTCATACCTCCATCCATCATACTACAGGAGGGAAACTTAGTCATTGAAAGGAATCAATCAACTCAAGAACAAAACCACAGGGCTCATTAAACTTCTCAACGTTCACGAAAACTGCAGCTGCAGGTTGAAAGGAGTGACCCAGGTTGGCTGGCCTGGCTCACCTGGGCCAAGTGTGGTGTCTCCAGGCAGTCTGGGAAGCCTCAAGCTTGTGGGCTGATTCCACCCCTCTAGGTTGGGGTTCCTGGTGAGTCAGCCAGTTGAGGTGACTCGTGGACAAATCCCAGGGACGAGCAGCTGGGCAGTGACTCGGGACGTCCTGAGAGGCTCCATCAGGAAGCAGTGAGGAAGGCGTTACTTCCTAGAGTTGGGTAGGCAGCAAAAGATGAGTTCTCAGATCATGGTGCCTTTCAGAAGCGGGGTTCCCACGTTCTGAGGCCTTCTGAGAGAAACGAACCATCAGCTTGTCTAACGATAGAGAATATCGCCCAAATTCTGAGCCTTAAAGGATGAATGCGGACTTTTATCTTCCCAAACTAAAGTCCTGCTCATTCTTGGGGAGATGTCAAAGGTTTGGAGAAGCTCAGTCTCAGATGCCTTTCCTGAGAGCTCTCGGAGGGACAAGGGCCTCGGTCAGGATGAAAAGGTGCCCCTTCTCTATAAGCAGTAGCTGCCTAAGTGGGGCTGGGCCACCACCACCTGCCTCACCCAGAAGAGGTCCTGCTGACCTCATTCTTGAAATCTCCTTAGGCCATCCCTGCTCTCACCAGCTTCTTATCCTGAATCCTGGGTGGAGAAGAGAGCTCAGACGCTCACACCGGCATGTCCTGCCCTGAAGGGAAAGGAATGAAGCTGGACATGAGTATGCCATGGCCGCCCGGTATAAACACAGTGCCAGAAGCCTGGCTGCCCCACCACCAGCGTCAGTCTGGGAAGCGTTATATGGAGGGTCAGCCCCAGAGGGACCCTCCGCCTGGTAGGCCACCATTTACATGTCAGAGTCGAGACTACGGATTTGCGAACATTCTGCAACTCCTAACACATTTAGAGAATGCATGATATCAGGTGTGCATGCCCTCCACGCCTTGCCCATGGTAGACATTATTAATCGATCGCTGACACCAGAGAGCTAGACGCAGTGGAGGCAGGAGAGGGAAAGGCCCCATCCACTCTAGTTCATGTCATCGGCTCTCCCCTTAACAACTCACCCACTGCTGCTGTTCCTATGTGCCATCGAGAAACTGTTCATGAAATGAAAGCAGAAACATAAAGAGATAACTTAATAAATTATAAAAGAAAATTAAAGACTAAATTTAGCTTAAAATTATGAATAATTATAAAAGTTACAAATATAAGAAGGAAAGAATAAAATTAAAAAGTAGCCTAAAAGGTTAGAAAGAGAGATGGTAACATAGGGAAATACATTTTAAAGAATTTCAAAAGGTTAAAAATAACTAAATGACCCTCTGGAATACTTTTACAACTCTCCTGTAAATCTAAAATTATCTCTAAAAAAAGTTAAAACATTAATTAAATGAAAGCAACATAAGAATGTAAAAAAAATGTAAAATAAATCAAAAATGTAAATAAATACATATAATCAAAAAAAGTTAAAACATTAATTAAATGAAAGCAATATAAAGATGTAAAAAAAAATATGTAAAATAAATCAAACATGTAAATAAATACATATAATAAATACATATAAAATATAGCTGAGATTTTCAAAGGGTAAGAAATAAAAATCAAGATCAAAAATAATGAAAGTTTAAAGGGAGAAAGTGAAAGCAACCAGAACAGGCAAGTTTCCAAGATAAAAACAAATATAAAGTAGAAAAGAAAAACTATGAGATAGATAATTTTAAAGGAAGATACCATAGTAAAAGACAAGACTCAAATTACAGAGATACAAATGGGAAATAATGAAATAATCCAAAGCATGAATGAACCAAAGCAAAGCAGCATACTAAAAGCCCAGAAATTCAAAGTTATGAGTAATTTTTAAATTAAAGTAATGTTCTCCCAATAAAGATGAGGACAAAGTACCAGTAAAGGATCATTTCTACTGGGCTCTGATGAGCTGAATCAGCGTCTGAGCTGGGGCTTTTGCATCCCTCTCCGGGCCCTGTTGGGACTTCTCTGCCCACCCTTGGAATGGACACCTGAGGGTCCTGGTGGGTGCCAGTGAGGTCAGTGGAGGCCACAGCCCTGACATTCAGGGGGCCACCCAACCCAGAGCTGGGGTAATTAGGACACCGGCCGGGAGCTGGTTCCGCTGTCAGTGACCCATGATTAAACACTCGCAGGCTTCTCTGTGCCTCGTTTCCCTTTCCAGGAGCACCTGCTGGTGCCTTCCCTCTTCTGTTTGTCCTACCTTCTCCACTAAAAAAGCGATCAAACTCCTAGTCAGCAGCATTAACTTTTTAGTGAAGTGGAAAGAGCACTGGGCATAGTAACGAGTCAGGCCCCCTGAACCTGCCCACCTGCTGGTTTTGAATATGAACTGATGTGATGCTGGTGAATTGAAAGCCCTCGTACATGTCAATAACAGAGCTCAGGGTGAGGTTAAGCATCTGGTTGTTGGGGAGGGAGGGATGTGGGGAGGTGGAAATCTATCTGCCATGAACTGGGGAGGCGGCACCTCACCGTCCCTGCTCCCCACCTCACCCCACCCCCAAGCCCCTACCCTCATCTCAGCATCTCAGCCTCAACCTCCCATCTTACTTCCCAGGTGGCCCTTGAACCAGGATGGCTGAGCCCCGCCAAGAGTTCAACATGATGGAAGATCATGCTGGGACGTATGGGCTGGGGGACAGGAAAGATCTTCCCTCCCAGGGGGGCTACACCCTTCTGCAAGACCGTGAGGGTGACGCAGACCATGGCCTGAAAGGTTAGTATACGGCCCTGCACAACAGCTCCGGGCGCCTTGGGAATCACAGCCAACCCGCTTGCTTTGGAAAGAGCTGGCAGGAAGGGTTTGAATCCACATTTTTAGAGGAGTTTTAAATACAGTATTGGATTAGATTGTCAATTGAATGAAAGCTCATCCTTTGAATGGACCAAGGTACTCAAAACGTGAGGCTCTTTGACAAGGAGAGTATGCCCCATGAGTGGATGCAGAGTGACCAAGACTGCAGGGGCCGTCAGTCTGATTCGTATAGGCCGCTCCCTTGCGTCCTTAGCCACGTCAATGAACCTATAAATCAGCAATCTTCAATAGCATGCAAAATACATGGCCGTATACCTTATCTCTTCTTTGCCGGCCCGTCTGGGCCCTATTCAGCAAGTTGGTTAGCCCTGGGATTCCTACTATACCTCCATTTATAAATTGCATTAACTTCTAAATAGTCTAAAATACGGTCTTTTGGCCAAACCGGCTTGGCCTCCTCCTCTCCCTTTCCAAAAGAATATATTTCATTTCACTGCCTGGCCACCGAGTTCGGGGAGCTCCCAGAGCCCTCTCTTTGCTCCGCATGCTGGCCCCCAATTCTCAACGGGAGCACCAAGCTGGCCTCAGTGTAAGAAAGACTGTTCCTGCCTTCCAGAGCCATTTCTAAGGAGACAAAACGGCAAACAAGCTACTTTCTCTTCTAATGCTAAAAATAATAAAACACACTTTTGCAGCCTGGGGTGTGAGGTGCCGGGTGGAAGTGGTAGAGCTCCAAGGTGGGAAGGGACCTCTTCTGGGAACACCTATCCAGGACGGTTCCCTGGAGGAGGCAGGTCACACGGAGGTCCCCTGGGTGGGGGAGCCTGAGGAGCAATCGCCCCTACCTTGGAGAGGTTTCAGGTCTTGTCGGCGACCTTGTTTCAAAGGCTGGCTTCTCTGTATCTGTTTAAGCAGAGAACGCATTGGCGTCAGATGAGCTTGGGAATTAGGTGGGTGGACTCCTAGTTGGAGGAGGTGGAGGAAGAGTGGACGTGCTGTTCTGGGAGCCCAGAGGCCCCCCTCTGCCCCTCTCAGGAGCCCACCTGGCCTCTGAGTGACGTGAATTGGGGGAAGTTCTCAGCTGGACCAGACCCCCCGCCTGGTGTCGGGCACCATGTGGTAACAAGAAGTGTGCATTCCGACCTCTCCACAGCTGTGGCCTGGGAGCTGCTACGGTTCACCCCCACTCCCTAAGAGCTCCCTCATTTGAGGACGGAGCCCACATATCCCCTGTGTGCCTCTTGTCACTCTTTCTGCCAAGTCCCCTTGGAACTTTAGTTATTAAACTCTATTAAACTCCCGTGGGTGGAATCCAACTTAGAATCACAACATACTGAATTCTGCCCTCGGTGAATCCCGCTGATGAAAAATGATGCTCTATTTAGGGTATGCTGGTTTAAAAATTAAGTTACATATATTTTATGTTGCAACAAATGTACCATAATAATGACACATGTAAATAATTTTGAAACTGGGTGTGGGGTATACTCTCTGTACTATCTTTGCAAATTTTCTGTAAATCTAAAACTGTTCTCAAATGAAAAGCTCCTTTTGTTTTTTACAAGTCCAGGAAAAAAGTGATTTTTACAACTCCTATTTTTCAAAGGAAAACTGGATTCAATTTGTGAAGTAAGAACAAGTTTACCAAGTCATTTTGTGTCTCAGACTTGCCTACAGTATGTTCGCTGAAACTACTCAATTCCTTAACATAAAACATGATCAGAGAAGTTCAGTGCTAAAACGGACCTATGATATATACGGTCGACCTTTCAACAACTTGGGGGTTCAGGGTGCCGACCCCCACGTAGTTGAAAATTCACATGTAACTTTTGACTCCCCAAAAACTTAACTACTAATAGCCTACTGTTAACTGGAAGCCTTACCAATAATATAAACAGTCAATAAACACATATTTTCTATGTTATACGTATTACATATTCTTATAATAAACTAAGCTACAGAAAGGAAGATGTTATTAAGAAAATTATAAGGAAGAGAAAGTACATTTACAGTATTTACTGAAAAAATTCACATTTTAGTAACTCGCACAATTCAAACTCATGCTGTTCAAGGGTCAATTGGATATGCAAATAAAAAAATTTTGCTAACCTTTTTCCATCACTGCTGTAAAAAAGAAAGCATTTGAAGATAGTTTGCTTACCCAAAGAATGTACTTGCCAAGAAAGTAAGTAATACCTAAAAGATTTTCATAGTTCTCATCGCATTTGTTCTTGCAACTAAGGATTTAGAATGAGTTGTTTTTATATGGGGAGTGAGGGGTGTCATTTAGCAGAAGGTGTCACTTTACTAGTCACATTTTAGATAAGTGACAGAGACTATTTTCAATAATGACAAGAAACCACATGTAAAATACTAGAACAAAGTATTGAAGTTGGGTAGGACTAGATACAGCCAAAGCGAGCTTGCAGGGCGGGTGAAAGATGGTTAACTGATAAAATAAGGCACGCTAATGAATGAAAAGGTGTTAATGGGTTAACTTGTTATACCTTCTAGATAAGACATTCAGAATAGGCTTCTTCTCCTTCCTTCCCCATCTCCAAGAAATTTAACAAGGATAATGCAGATGAAGAGGATTGCTGGCTGGGGACAGTTTGAGGAGAGAGTGTTTGGGGGACCAATGTGCCTGAGGCCCCATATGCTCCTGTGCCCTGACAGTTGAGGCTGGTTAGTAATAACAAGACCGGACAGACAGTCTGTGTGATGCTTCCTCACCCACTGGCTGTCCGAAGCCTACCTGAGGCAGCTTGCAGGTTTTTGCAAGCTTCAGGACCAGGGAGCTGTGTGTTTGATAGGAGCTTGTTTAGAATTAGCTCTTCTTTGGCTGGGTGGGCGTGGCCAGGGCTGGGTGTCCAGGCTCGTGTTTTTAGCAAAGGATACAGGGTGTTTGATCTCAACAGTGCACTTGTACACCAATTGCCTTTTTTTTTTATCTCACAGTCCTGCTTCATGCACAGAAACAGCCCCTTATCCTGAAACTGACTCCAAGGCTGTCCCCACCCCAGGTGGGATGGCTCCTGCAGAGTCCACCATAGCTTTGTTGACTTAGGATTCTGAAAGGACAGTTTTCTTTAACTGTGGCTGACATTTCAGCTGTCACTCAAAGCTTGTTGGTCAGTATTGGAGATCCTCTTATGAAAGGAGCTAGGTGAAGTCCAGATACCATTTTTCCAGTCAAAAGTAAGTGCTGTGTCTGCCCTAAGCTGACTCCTTCTCAGATGAAGGAGTTGGATCTCTGAGTGTTTTCCGGGTATCTATCTGCCATTAATCAATGGCAGTGATCTCCGATGAATCTCTCCAGTAAGGACAGACAAAGCCCCAGGTTTACGTGCTTTCTGGTATCTGCAGCCGTTTGTCAATACAGAAGCCTTAGCTTTGGTTGGAACCACAAGCCGATTAAAGGCAATGTCTCCTCTCACCCAAGAACACCTACTCATCACCTATGTCTTTGCTGATGACCCTCGCGTGGGGGCACAGTTGTGTTGAGATGGGGATGGGATTGGTCCCCTTTGTGGTTTTATCACATGGCCACGTCCCATCCATCAGGGTTCCAAGCTAAGTGATTTTTGGCTCTGAAAGACACTGCTCTCGCGTTCTTTCCGAAGTTGAAAGGGAGGGCGGGGAGAGGCAGCCATGCTGAGGGGCTCACTGTGTATGTTCCAGAGTCTCCCCTGCAGACTCCCGCCGATGACGGATCTGAGGAACCGGGCTCTGAAACCTCTGATGCTAAGAGCACTCCGACGGCCGAAGGTGGGGCCTCCTTCCTCTCCTCGCTTCATTCACGCAGCTCCTTCCATGCGCCGGCCTGCGCGTAGCCATGCTTTGAGTCCATGCGTGCCACCCTTCCTGGCTGCATTTGCTGCCGCCTCTCCCTCCGGCTGAGAGAGATGCTCATTCAGTGCTTGGTAGGATGGGGCTCAGGAATGTTGCGGGAGCAAGCCCTGCTTTGATGCCTTGCTAACTAGTACCAGGCACGGACACTTCATCATGTGTACGCTTTGAGGTAGCTGCACCTGGAGAGGATGGGATCTGGGGCAATATAAACAGAGCAAAGCTCCACAAAGCCCCTTGTCCTCCCCAAACTCCTTCAGAAGCCCACACCCACCTCGTTCTTTCATGAGCCACCAAGTCCCAGAGCAGCCATGTGGCTGAGGAAAGGGGTAGGTCTGTGCATATCATCAAGCTCACACTTTGGGACTGGGTTTGGTTTAGTATCCTTCATACCTTGAGTGCTAGGCTTGGCCTGGGCCTTGGGACATTGGCCACAGTGTTAGTTCCAGTCCATCTTCCAACCTGTTCTCTCCAGACATTTGGCACCTAGGTAATAATAAATCCCCTCATGTATTTCCTGAAGTGCTCCTTGGTCCCGATTTTGACTACCTCATCTTGTTTCTCTTCTACGCCAGTCAAGACTGCATTTGATTGCAGGTAATAGAAAACCCAACTGTGGGATGTACATGAAGAGGTTTATTTATCCCACATAGTAAGATGTCTGGACTTGGGCAGCAGGTCCCCAGTGTCATCAATGCTCTTCTGTCTTTATCTTCTGCCATCGTTAATGGTTGGATTGTTGCCTCATGATTATGAAACAGCTGCTGTGCTTCCAGGCATCACATCTGCCTTCAAAGCAGGAAGAAAGTAGCAGTGCAAAAAGAACAAAAGGGCCCTGAAATCAAAAGTACCCCTTTTTTATTAGGAAAGCAAGAGTTTTCCTGCAAGCCCCACCTGGCCAACTTTCACTTAGGTCTCGTTTGCCAGAATTGGGTTCCATGGCCACCCCTGGCTGTAAGGGAGGCTGGGACATTGAGCATATTTTGCTCTTCAATCTCTTTAGTAGAAGAAATCAAGGGAGAATGGCTTTCGAATAGCCTGTCCATATCTGCCCCTCATCTCTTCATCCTCCCCTGGGAGGCTCAGGTTCTGTTTTCAGCATTTCTCTGAGCCCTGTCCATTAATTTGGCTCCTGTGTCCCAAGATGAGAAGCCGGCCCCAGCATCTCCCCAAGTGTCCACCTTTGGATGATGGTGGACTGCCCGCCGATTGTTGGCATAAGGGTGCATCTGTGGAGGAAGTAGTGGGCATGGCCCTCCAGCCCACCCCTGAGGTCCTCAGCCTGGTGAAGAAGAGACCAGGACAAACACTCTGCTCTCCTCAGAGCCAGTGATGCAAGGCATATCCTGCTGAGCTCGTTAGGACAGTTTTGCAAGTTGCCTGCCTCCCTGAGAAAATCCTGAAACATTAATGCCAGATTCCAGGCCAGCCTTCCAAATCATGGTTTTCAGTCCTCCGTCAACATTATTCTGGAAGGATCTTCCAACCAAATCTTGCTGCATCCCGGACCCTACACGTGTGTGGGCCCCGGGAGCTTCAGCTCCCACCCCACAGGGCTTGGGGGCCGGGGCCAGGCTCTGCCAGGCTGCTCCACCAGCTCCCAAGACCATAATTAAACTGGACTAAACTGGCTCAGGCTCTTGGAAAGCTTTCCACACTGACAACTCCTTATGTTTGCCCAGAACAGCCCCGGAGTGAGCCGGGGCGTGGCTCAGGGAGGAATGCTGATTTGGAAGTGTTCACCTTGATGAGAGTCTGACAGCATCTCCTGGTGACGGCCCTTCACCTCCGGCCTCTGCTCTGAAGGTGGCTCCATCTGCAGGCCTCTTGTCAAGCTCCCCACCCCAGATAGGACCAGGGCTGTTCACTACTACCCAGGGAACTCGTGCTTCTTTACCACGGGTCACGGGCTCAGGGGCACAGAGTGTTAGAGCGGGAAGAAACATTAGAGGTCACCTGGAGATGATGCTCCCATTTTTCAGATGAGGAAACTGAGGCCCAAAGAGGAGAAAGGTCTTGCCCAAAGCCTCGCAGCAAAGCTGTAGACGCGGCCCTCACACCACCTCGGTCTCCTCTCCTGCACCACTGTAAGAATCAAATATCTGCAGCCAGTCATCTGATTTTCAACATTTCTTCTTGAAACACCACGGAGGCCATCCCCAGCCGTCTCTCTCACTGCAGTGTTTACACGGGGACTGTCCCCGGCTTTCCTGGCAGATGGTCTGGGCATCTCATGGGCAGGGGCCACTCCAGCAGAATATTAATGTGCTTCTTGGGGAGATGTCAGGCAGGGCAGCTCTGGGCCTGCTTTGTGGAGTGGCTTCTGCGCACGCAGCCGAGCCCCCTCCTGCCTCCCCCGCCCTGCACTGCTCTGCACAAGAAGCAAGGCGAGGGGCTCGGCACGGCCCGTCCTGGCCCCCAAAGGTGATTTTCGGTGGTTTCCAGACGTGACAGCACCCTTAGTAGATGAGGGAGCCCCTGGCGAGCAGGCGGCTGCTCAGCACCGCACGGAGATCCCAGAAGGAACCACAGGTGAGGGGGATCCCAGGACTGGTGTGAAAGGCCCAGCCGACCTGCCGGAGGCGAGGGTGTGGCAGAGCCATGCTCGTCCCCGAGTGAGGCAGGAATGTGGGCCGACGCCAGCTCCTGGGAACCTTGGGCTGTTCCAGGCCTGATGCCTTGATGCCCTACTGCTTCCGTGGCCGACTGCCAGCCTCCCAGAGGGTAGAGAACCTTCTGGATTCCACCTAGCTTCTCCTCTCCTATCTCAGTCAACACATCAGCTCCACGGGGTTCTCTGAGGCAGGCCGGTGACAGAGCCTGCCTTCTTCACCCTGAGGTCGATCTACCTGCTGCTCAGGGTCACCCCCTAGGGAGTGGTGAGCACCAAGTGTGCAGCGGGCTCCAGGTGACTGACCCACACCTTTGGAGGATCTTAACTGGACAACCCCTGAGGAATTCAGTGATGTAATCTAGCATCCAGCCCTAGGACTATCTTTTCAAATGTATCTGCATAGAACAGACATGATGAGGCTGTCCTGTCAACACGGATGATGGGGAATAGCTCAGACAAGTAGGCACCAACCAGAAATAGCCCTGGACTTAAGGCCAACCAGAGTCACTGAGAGCTGCCCAGGCCCTGAGGAAATGGCCAGCACAGCCCGAAGCTCTCGCTGTCATTTCCTTCACGTCCCCTTCTCTGGGCTTACGTATTGGAAGGCTCTCCGCAAGGAATGCAGAAGAGTTCTGGACAGGATTTCACCACCAGTGCAGAGTGGGGGAAAAGTCCCCAGGCAGAAGTGGCTTTCCTTTATAAAGACAGTGCTCATGGCAGCCACATGGGGAGCCCACAGCCTTTCTTGGGGCTCCATGTGCTGAGAACAGCCATGCAGGAGCCAGGCAGTACCACCAAACCGCTTCGAAGCAGTTTGGGCTTTGTGCATTGGTCTTTGGAAATGGGTAGAGAGGGATGTTCTTGAAGCCGGTAATCTTCATTCTTGACAGTGAGCGTCGTTTGAGAGGCACAGAATGACTCATGAGATGAGATCACACATCACTTAGTTTTTGTCTCCCGCTGTCCCTTTACAACCCCAAAGCCGTGCCCTCTGGTGGGGCGCCCTTCTCCTGCCCCAGATGAAGACTCTAGCCCACATCCAGTCATTCCTCGGCAATCAAAAGGACTTTAGTCTCCTTAGTCACAAAACACAATCTGCAAATGCTAATTAGAGTGTCCACTCCACGCAAAGGTGAGAGCTCATTCGGGGTTGCAGGCCCTCCCCTCCGGGCCTGGGGAGAGGAGCATGAGGGTGACGGGAAAATTCTTACCGGGCCGGCACTGCTGTGAGCCGGCTCCACACCCACTGCAGTGCTCGAAGTGACCCTTTTTCTATGGGGACCTTTTCTGAATCCTTCCAGACTGCCCCCATCCCATTTAATCGCCCCCGAAGGACCCTCCTACTGCATTTGACTCGGGCAGACTTTCCCTCTCTCCTCGCCCCTTGGGGTCTAAAGAGCCTCCTCTAGCCTCACTGCCGCTAAGGTCAGCTTGCTCCTGTTAGTGGCCCATGGACATGGTCTAAAGCGTCCCCACACTGTCATTGCCTTGTGCCCATATCAGGTCTGCGGGAAGCCCAGACAAATTCTGAGTACGCAGAGTGATCGCAGGCCCACCGCACGCTCCTCTGCTTCCCGGCCAAAGCAAGGCCAGCCCGGCTCTCTTCCCCTCGGTCTCTCAGTCGGGGTTCTGACAGCGGTCCACCAGGGACACACACACCAAGTGTCTCCAGGTGGTGCCTTGAAGCCCAAGGTGCCTGGAAGTGGGGCTGAGATGGGGGATGGCTACATGGCCAACCCTAAAGCCGTTCCCTCCAAAGAAATCCTCCTCAAAAATACTCTCCGCTCCATCCTCTCCACTGAGTGGGTCTAACTCCATCCTCTCCACCCTTTACCCCCTCAGTGAGGTGGGAGGTTTTAGAGTGAGGAACATTTTTCAGCTGTTGACCTTGACAATATGGACCTTAGTTTAGCACCGCACTCTGCCGTGTCCCATTTGGCCGTATCTTGGTGTGCGTGTGGAACTCCTCATTTGAGGTCCATTTGGGAGTGCGGTGTGGCCACCCCACCACGGGAATCCCTGCCATGCTGGGATGGGAGCCCTGGCCTCTTGGGGCTTCAGGGATCTAGAGAGGCCATGTGATGGCCCAGCCACTGTCACACACCCTCCCGCCTCCCTTCGGCTTCTCGAGCGCCTCCCTCACTGGCATCAGGAGTCATCAGAGTTACTGGCAGTCTCCAATTTCTAACTTGCACCAGGGCCAGGATGTCACAGCTCTGCCACCTTCCCGGGGCAGAGCGGTGACGTCACCCTGGCCCACCTCCTCATGTTCTCTGTCTCCAGGACTCTGTGCCATTTAGCTGGACTTGCAGCCGGTCACTCCGAGCTTTTCTTCTATAACCTCGTCAGACACCCAGACCGAATCTATGCTCGGAGCTGTGCCTCCTGGGCAGTTGGCGGTTGTCCAGTGATGTGGTGCTGCCATTATTCGACCTCATGCATGTGAATACATGGACAGCGGGCCTTGTAAACTCCTTCTGGACGGTTGTATCCACTGTCCTGTAGCAGTAGCCTGATTTTTCATGATGTTGACACTGGCATTGTATTAAAGCTTTCTGTGCTGTCGATGGTGTGGTCAGGGACTTTTCTTAGTCTTCTTCATTTGGTGAGCTGCGGCTCCCTACGCGGGTGCCCAAGATACCCCAAAAGCTGCTCGCTGGCACTGCTGGCCTCCCTCTAACTAGGTAGCACCTATTTGGGGTATACAGTTAAAGGGTTTGCCCAGTAGTTCGGAGAGAAGAAACCACCTACCATATGCTAGGCACTTTGCTAAACATGTTCACACAAATTCTTGTATTAATGCTCACCACTCTCCTACAAGACAAACCGGTGTCATCACCCTGGAGTTCCAAGGAAAAGGAGACTCAGAGAGGTTAAGTAAATAATGGCACCAGGGCGTGAACCCCAGCCTACCACGGCCCACATCTAGTCCTTCTGTGCACCTCCAGCCCACGCAGAGCCCTGGCTGGCGCTGAGGTTGCAGCCACCACCCAGAAATGGTCCCGTGGCAGTGACTGAGGAGTGGACTGCTCCTGTGACCTCACCCGTCTTTGTTGAATGGGGTGCTGGCCCCGCTGTGGGGAAGGTCTTTCCTACCGGGTCATGGGCACCAGCAATAACATTTGCAGAGAGCCGCAGGTGCAGCCCCTTGGTGCTTGTAAGATGTGCCTTTTTAAAAATGTTTTCAGAAAATTACCAGAAGATGCAGAGAGCTTCATTTCTTATACACAATAACTGTCTTTGCTTTTATGTCCTTCATTTGCTGACACATAAACCAGCTGAAGAAGCAGGCATCGGAGACACCCCCAACCTGGAAGACCAAGCTGCTGGACATGTGACTCAAGGTCAGTGGCTACAACCGCCCACCAAGGCTTGGGGGTTGGCAGGAGGGAGATGGAAACCACAGATGGGCTCCGCCCGGAAAAGATAATTCACAGGTCCTAATTCATGGAGCCAGGAGAGTCTTAGGAAGTGGTACTTATCAAAGACGGGCCTTCCAGATACAGAAAGAGCTCCGGCGTTTTTTTGTTTTGTTTTGTTTTGTTTTGTTTTCCCTAATACTATTCCTGAGTCTCCTAAGGGGTTTAGTGTTCTAAAAGAAGCTGGCCTTGTCCAGCCTGGGGAGTCAAAAATGGCTGTCCAGCAGAGACGCAGATGCATGATGGGTGATTCTCCCTGCGTTCTGCTCTCCAGCCTGTCCCGGGAGCGAGGCCTCGACCTTATCACCACCAAGCTAGTCCTTTTCCATGTCTTCTGTGCAACTGTCAAACCTTATTATGATGTTCTTCTCAGGGACCAAAACTTGCTGCGTTCAAGAAAAGCAGCTTTCTAGAATGATTTAGCACCAATGCTTTAAGAATTTCGTTTTTTAAAATCCTAGAGATTCTTTATCTTAGGAAACGGAGCCCTCTGATACAACATGGGCTACATAAACGAACTTCAGAGTCTACTGTGTGATGTGGAAGCTTCTAGATTGCAGAAGAGCTGGGAAGACACTGCTCTTTTCTCCAGAAAGTGATATATTGTATTTGTCCAGTGTTTAGCGCCGCCACTGGGGCCATCTGCTTTTAAGAAGACTGTGCCCAAAGAAGTGTCTCGTTAAGAGTATTTTGAGGCCTAACTATACATTCTGTTCCCAGAGGGGTCACCACCCCATAGCGGGCTGTCGTTTCTCATCTCACATGGCATGGAAAGGCGTGTTTTCTTTCTCAAACTTACAAAGAGTTTCAAAAAATATTTGAAGGGATCATCAATATAAGGAAAAACCTGTCTACGTGTTAAATAACTAGAATCTTGTGTCCTGTTTCTTTTAGGTCATGGTTTTTCAGCTTAGGTAAAATCAGAGGCCTTCACAACCTCTGGAAATGATCATTTTTTTCCCTTTAAAAGATGTGGATTTGAGTTTTTCTTCAAATTTTTACTGCAGCCTGTGTCTGTCTGTCCCTAAAACATATTCCATGCAATGAGAAGATCGGGTCAACATCTCTTTGGGAAATTTTAGTATTGTGCTAACTGAATTTTAAAATTTTTCTGCCAGTGACCTAGAATCACATATATAGCAAAATGAGCACCAGGTAACATCTGCAAAAGGAAAATCAACACCAAATCTGTGAACACATGGAGGTTTCTACCCCTGCTCCCAAGGCCAGGATGTAATGCCTTGATTGGAGCTGCTAGTTCAAGTTGCCAAGCCGGTCCCTCCAGTGAAACCTTGTGAAATTCTGACACACTGGTGACCCACAAACACACTTTATTTGCCAAAGGCCTGCAGACCGTTTTGTACTAAAACACTCAGATTTAGGAATAGCCGTGTAAACAACGCTATAGACAGAAAACCTCTGGTAGCTTGTGTCCAGAAAGTACTAAGTTAAAGATGTCTCAGGATGGGGCTGCAATACGCTGAGAGAGAGATGTGGGAGGCCTAACCCCTGTCCCACTCACCCCGAGGAGCCGGCCTCTCTCCTATAAGTGTCACGAGGACCAGGCCTCCTGAGGGGGTGTGGGGGACAAGTTATTTGGATTCCTGAAGCAATCACATGCTTACCCAGATATTGTTTACCTTGGAACCCCTGTCCCTGGTGATCACTGTGGTTAATATTGACTGAGCATGTCATAGTATCCTGGGAATGGAATAGAATACTCTCCAGCCTGGCTCCTTCCTCTAGGAGTGTAATTACATTATGTTAGGTTCCTTGTCCATCAACACACACATACACACACACACACACACACACACACACACACACACACACACACAGTACAATCATATATTGATGGCTTTTCAAGTTATGGTTACTATTCATGTTTGGAGCCCTCATCTCTTTTTTAATGAGGGTCTTTGAAAGTCTCACATATATCAGAATACAGAAATATCCCAATCAAGAGCAATTTCTAGGAAATTCTGGGAGGAAAGCTTTTTTAGCAAGGTTGTGGAGACCTGGGCAGGGGGCGGGGGGTGTAATGACCAGCAGCCACCACCACCTCTGGTCTGTGGAGCAGGTTGGTGGACAGGAAGTTGTGATGCTGAGGCTCCTGCTCAGGTTGTCTCCTGCCGACCTCATTTCCTGCATCTCTGTTGCTGGACACTGACCAAGGGACCCAGTAAGACGCCAGCAGACCCTGAAGAAAGCAGTCTTCACATGTTTTCCTGACACCAGTTCATCCACTTATTAGTCACCTGCTGTGTGTAGGCTCTGTGGTCGATGCTAGGAACATGAAGTGAATGAGATTGTGAGCTCAAGACCCTGAGCTGGGGTGGGTGGTGAAGTCGAGCCATGGCCAGGCCTCTTGGCAGTGAGCCAGCGGGCAAATCCACTGACTTGGCTAGGCTGGGGGGAGAGGGACAGTCACATGTTACCCATGTGTGTCCATAACTGCACCCTGTGTGCAGGCTCTGTGGTCGATGCTAGGAACATGAAGTGAATGAGATTGTGAGCTCAAGACCCTGAGCTGGGGTGGGTGGTGAAGTCGAGCCATGGCCAGGCCTCTTGGCAGTGAGCCAGCGGGCAAATCCACTGACTTGGCTAGGCTGGGGGGAGAGGGACAGTCACATGTTACCCATGTGTGTCCATAACTGCACACGTGTGTGGACACAGGCATTCTTTCGCCTCCTTCCCATGCCCTCATTCAATCTCTTTCTCTTCCAAGCCCCCGAATCCTTTTGGGGGTCTAGGTTTTGTTTAGAAGGAAGCTGGAAAGTTGTATAGGTTATTCTATTGGGAGTAGGTAGGATTGTCAAAGGGTTAGAAGCTAAAAAAAAAATAATAATAATGTTTATCAGGAGAACCAAAGAGCATAACTCTTCCGTCCTTCATTCACAGTCAGGCCCTTTAAGGATTCACATGAATGATACATGAATGAACCAAAAGAAATGAAGCGTGCCCTCCGTCAGCTGGGTGGGCACGCGGCAAGGTGTGCGGCCAAGTGAAAGCAGTGGCTACCGCAGGCTGGGACCTTGCCACGCACAGCCCGTTACTGCCGCGGTGGTCAGCCTCACCCTGTGCCGAAGGCCTGTCCGTGATCCATGACCGGGATAAATCTGAACCGTGGTTTTGTTTATAGGAACCTTACAGCAGGTCTCTCAGTGAGGACAGGAGCCCCAGTGATGATCAGTGTTGCATTTTCCACATCTGTCAGCACAGGCTTGAAGTAGGATTGCTTCGTGGAATCCTGCTCGTCTCATGTGGCCAAGTAGGGGAACAGAACGAGAGGGAGAGGAAAGGGGATCCTCACTGCAGCCAAGCCAGGTCCCATCTAGAAGCCAGAATATTCTGGATGCTCAGTGTCCCTAGAGAGTTCTGTAGCCTAATGGGGAGTGAGCAAAGGCAGCCCCTCAGTGGGGCCAGCAGCCCTAGATAGGCTGACATGCTCCGAGCCCGATCAGGCCCGCGGAGGAGAGGGGCTCATCCAGGGTCACAGAGTGAGCTGGTGGCAGGTAGACCAAGAGAGCTTTCGTTCCAAGCCAGTGAAAGCAAGGGTGAGCCCAGAGCGTGCTCCTTTTCTTTGTCAGGTGGGCTCGCGATGCCGTTTATTTCTTATTATTTCTTATTTCAAGAGTATTTTCCTTCTCTTAAACAATCAATGTGCCCTTGCTAACCTTTTGTCACCGCTGCCTCTTCAAACCCAGAGGAGTTGAGAGTTCCTGGCCAGTGGAGGAAGGTGCCTGAGAAGCCCCTGACCTATGGGCTTAGCTCTCAGGTCCAGCCTGGACAGGGCAGAGAAGCTTCTGGGGCCTCCATGCCGCCTGTGGGGGAGAAACAGCCAGAAGCTCCCGTCCTGGCGATCTCTTGCCATTCCCAATATCATCCCATCTACCAACCACCTCCTTTAACAGGAGGCGCTCAGGAGCCCCACCAGGAATGGGGACCAAAACAAGAAGACCGGGCCGAGGAGGATCTGGCTTTTCCAAAGCCCACCTGCCCTGGATATCTGCAGATGGAGCCTGGAAGTGTCAAGATCGTCCAGGAAAGCATCCTCAGAGAGCCAGGGCACGCTGGAGATGAAGCCGCGGACCCGAGGACCCTGGGTCTCACCTACCAGCCTGTGTCCCACATGCCTGGGGCTCCCATCCTGCCTGAAGACCCCAAAGAAGCCATGTACCAGCCTTCAGGGGCGGAACCTGAGGTTGCAGAGCAAAGCCGCCATGGCCTGCGTTTGCTGGAACACCAGCTTTCGGGAGACCTACGCCTGGAGGGGCCACTTCCGAAGAGAGACCAGGGCAAAGAGAGGCTGCGGGGCGAGGAGGTCGATGAGGACCGTGACATCGATGAGTCCTCACCCCAGGAATCCCCTCCCTCCCAGGTCTCCCCAGGTCTGCAGAGCTCCCCAACCCAAGGGGGGCCATCCCCACAGACAGTTTCCAGAGAAGCCACTGGCACCCCCGGTTTCCCAGCCGAGGGTGCCATCCCCCTCCCTGTTGATCTCCTCCCCAAAGTTTCCATAGAGCCCGATGGGCCCAGTGCACAGCCCACGGCGGACGGGCACGTTGGGCCCCCCGAGTTCACGTTCCACGTGGAAATCAGAGCCAGTGTGCAGAAGGAACAGGGGTGTTCAGAGGTGGATTGGGAAGGCACTGCACTTTCGGGGGGCCCCAGAGAGAAGCAAGCTCCCCAGGACCCTTCCGAGGGAGAGGACACAAAGAAGACTGACCTTCCAGAACCATCTGGAAAGCAGCCTGCAGCTGGTCTGCCAGGAAAGCCCGTCAGCCGGGTCCCTCAACTGAAAGGTCTGTGTCCAGAGCTGCTTCACGCCTTCCTGGTAACTCCGTGGGCCACCCAGGCTGCAGGCCCTGCCACTGAGCTTCCGGCTCCCTCTTGACTCCTGCTGCTTCCAAGGTTCCTAGGGACGGCCACTGAACTGACCGCCTGGGCCCTGCTGCTCACCCCCTGTGGCCTCTCCTGCCCCTCAGGCTCTTGGCCGCACGTGCTCTCCTCACGCTTTGCCCGCCATTCTGCATGTCACCAACACCCCCACCCAGTGCTTTCTGCCCTGTTCACCTCTCCGGCCACTTGATTTATCTGCAATGGTCCATCAGCCCACAGGAGGATGGCGGGTCACCCTCCAGAGAGGATAACAGCTGCTCTCACTCCTGAGGGCTTATTATGTGCCTTAAATTCGTTGTCTAGAACCCTCCCAATGGGGCGTCGTTAACCCCGCCTTGCAGATGAGGAAACTGAGGCCCAGAGAGGTAAAGTAACTTGCTGAAGGTCATCAAGTCATAAGTGAATGAGCTGGGTTCCAAATCCAGGTAGGGCTACTCTGAAAGGATGCTCTTCCCTATATACCACGGTGCCTTCCAGAAGATTCTGAACGGTGTGCTCCTCTCCCAGAGATGCAGGGGACACAAGCCTATCTTCTGCTGCTCTTGTCAGTGGACAACACCTCACAGGCAGTAGGTGACACACACACAAGCGTGTGGAGGTGGCCGAGAGCCCATGGCGAGCCTTTGGCCCAGCAACCCCCACCTCCACCTGCCCTACCTCGTGGCAGGACAGACAAGGAGCAGAACAAAACCTCCCCGTCTCTTGTGCTGAGATCTCAGGGTCTCAGCCCAGCCCCTTCTTAAGCTCCGGGAGGCACGACCACAGCAGCCCTTTGGGGCCTGGAGAGGTGGAAGGAGAGGTTCTCAAGTGTCAAGGTCTCTGTGTCCTGTTAGGCAGAGGACAGTTGATATCTCAGAGGGAGCCTCATGACCACAAGTCAGGCATATTTATATACTTAGGACCCTTAGCATTTTAGAATTATTTCAGAGCTCAGAAATTGATGCTACTTAAGCTGTCATTTGCAAGCGTCTGTTAAATTTTGATTAGAGCCCCCTTGTCAAGAAAACTTCGAAATGTTGTAAATAAAGGAAACTGTATTTAAAATTTAAGACAGAAAAAATATCCTATATCCTTTTTTAAAGTATCCTAAGTTCCAAAATAGTAGGGGACAAATAACTGGCTTGACATTACAGCACTGTTTCCTGAAATGGTGTTTTACTGAAATCTTGTCCCCTGGATGTTGACAGATGTGTCCAAGGGAAAAAAAAGACTTCTATGGTCCAGTAAGTTTGGAAAAAATGGGCTAAACAAAGTTAAATAGGGTTTGCTGCTGCAGGACTTATCAGAGCCTTTAATATTCTAATACACATTGTGACCCTCTGAGAAGGATCCATAGTATGAATTTCCCAGAATTATTTAATCCCACCTGCTAACATCTGAAAGAGGGCCTGCTCAGTAGTACCCCAGTCTGGGAAATGCTGATCCAGCAGATGGTTTGGTTGTGACTTGGATGATAATGGTTTATTTGAGCAAAAGATTTGAATCAGGTCCACCTGGGGCTCTCCTTAAAATGCAGATTCCTGGCCCCTCTTTAGTCTTACAGAGTCTCAGGATGGGCTCAGGGAACTGTATTTTAACAACCTCTCCTGGTGATTCTGCCACACAGTAATGTTTGGAAACCTCTGGGCTAGATCATCAGTGCTGGTCACTCTAGAAGTATGGTCTCTAGTCGCCAGTGAGAAGCTATAAGAGGCCCTGTTGTCCTTGGGGCAGGAGGAGTATGATACTGACTCCGAAGACAAATCTATAATCAATCTTCAACAATGAATGTTAATAGAAGGAAAGGGTGAGTTAGAGGTGATGCTAGTAGACAAGTGGATTGGTTTCACCAGGGGGTGTGGCTTTCTAAACAGAAGCCCTCAAATGGTTTGGTCCTGAAATCCAGAAGTTACCTGCAGGGCATTTGTTGGTAACTCAGTTTGCGGCTAATTTGGGGAAGGCAAGGATTAGCCACTTGGGAGGGCCTGTACGAGTGAGAAGACCCTCCAGGGCTGGGTCGGGTGGGATGGGCTCCTTGGAGAACCTCTGGGGCTGGTGCCCCATTAGTGAGGGTTGAGCTTTGGGAAGACGGCCAACTCACTCACCCTGAACCTTGGGTGACAGCTCGAGAAAGGGCTGCTGCAGGAGGCCAGAGCCTGGCTGAGATGCCCCATCTGTGGCCCTTTTAAATGTCTCTCCTTGGAGAGAGGTTGGCCCATGCTGGGGCAGGCTGACCCTGGCAGAGACGGGGAGGAACCCTGTGAGAGCCACTGTCTGCCTCCCCTGACCACCCTGTGCCAAAATGCGCCCAGAACAGTTCCCTCTGCATGACCTCACCCTCGGCCAGCCTGCTGCCCCCTCATCAGGGTGCTCCGAGCAATGACCCCAGTGTGCTGTGTTGATACTAACAATGTGAGACCTGACAGATTCAAGGGGCAAGAAAACCAACAGCTTTCCGCCGAGCCCGGTCGAACCAAACACGTTGCACCCATCCTGAGAAATCACTAAGCTTTTCCCATGACCTGTGCAAGTGGGTGTGACGTACATTCTCATTTTATATTTTAACAGCTCGCATGGTCAGTAAAGGCAAAGATGGGACTGGAAACGATGACAAGAAAACCAAGGTAAGCTGACGAAACCGTGACACTGTCTGCCGCCGTCCAGTTTGTCGGGAAGCCATGCTTTATATCTGAATTAATTGTTAGATACAACATGCTTGTCACTGAAGTACAACTGTCATTCAGAGCGCTTTGTGTTATTACGTAAACTTTTTAAATTCCAGTATTTATCCACGTTGGTACTTATGCCAGGGAAGGGCCGTCAGCAAGTTAACGAATCAATGCTCCTAACTGCAGTCGCATTAGCGTAGTTTAAATGAGACATGCATGGTAAACGAAGGTCTGTTTGAATTTTCTGCAATAAAATTTGAATTTTGCACATCGTGCACCTTACACAGGTCTAGGCTCAGCAAATAAGTACATCTACACACACATATACACATATTTAAGAGATATGGAAAATATCATTTACTTAGGGGGCCGAGGGAACGTTAAGCAAGGAAGTGCTCGCCGACCTAAGGTGGAGGGTTCTGGAAAGGCCCACGAAGAGAGGACCTGTGAGGCGGGCTGTGATGGGAATATGAAGGGGCGCTGGTGAGGGGTGGGGAAAGGCATCCCAGTAGGAACAGCATAAGCCAAGCCCCGGGAGCCTGCAGCGACACAGCGTCTTTTAAGAACTCTGAGCAGATTGGCTTGGCCACTGCGGAGCTCCAGGGTGGGGGAGGGGTGTGACTTAGGAGAGAAACCTGACACTTTAAATGCTAAGTGGACGAAAGTGGCCGCGGCACCCTAGACGCCATCTTGAAATCTTGCAAGGTGGCTATTTGACGTATGCTTAAGTCAGTCCTCAGAAACCAACCCAGGGAACAGTAACTGAAGCAGCTGCTCCCCACCAAAACTGCACCCCAAAACATGCCCATCTTCTCAGTGCTTCCTGTCAGCTGTAGTTTACTCTTCTCAATGACTTTGCCTCTTGGAAAACATGTCTGTAACCGTACAGTACTGTTTTCCCAGGAGAATCCCACTGTGGCCTTAGGTGAAGACCTGTTTTTCATAAAGGTACCTAAAATTACTTTATAAATTCTGCCTGAAAGGTCTGGGTCTTAATCAGCCCTGGAGCCCTAATGGAGCCCCAGGTGCAGGCTGTAGCTCCAGCAGTTTCATAGTGTGTTGGGGGCCACTCCCGGAAGTGCCTGTCCTTTAAGAAGTCAGGTTCGCCATCACAAGACCCCAGTGAGACAGCTGAGGGTGCTGCAGGGACTTGGGGGCTCTGCCCTGGGTGCTTGAAGCAGTAGCAATAGCTGCTTGCCAGTCATGGTGCACGTTAGGGGAAGCCCGGCCTCAAGCATGCACACATTCATTCGTTCATTCATTCACACACATGGGTACAGCGTCCCTGCCCTGGAGTTGCTCACGGCCTCATAGCGAGCGGTCAGATGTCTCGGGAACTTTGGCCAGGTAGGGGGTGCTGCCTTGTGTGCCTGGGGAAGGAGAGGTCGTCAGTACCCACTCCCAGCTTTTCTTCCTCGTTACCAACCCCAGGGCCTCAGCCTTCGTCCCTCCCCTCACACCCCTGCTCCAGCCCTTGGGCCCTCCTCACCAAGGCTGAACATCTCTAGACTTGGCCTCTTGGTTTTATTCCTGAAGGTGTGGCCCCGCCCACCTCACCCCCCAATACACCCTCTTCTACCAGGGCCACACATCCTGGTCAAAGTCCCCCAGAGGCAGTTAGGACAAACCACAGGTGCCAGCCATCCTCCGTCAAGTGCAGCTGCCTCTGTGAGGTCGTCCAGCTCTCAGACACCTGTCCCATTGGCCACCGGTCCCACCCAAGCTATTTCTTTAGTCGGAACATGTTCCAGAGTAAACATTGGCCAGGTTAAGATTCACCAGATCTTGTTTAGTTTTATTTGAGACTTTAATCAGAAAGTGTGTGTGTGTGTGTGTGTGTGTGTGTAACCTAAGCGGTGTCAGGCAGAATCTTTAAGACTTAGAACAGGCACAATCCTGATTTTAGCTAGTATGATTCTGTCAGTATGGTGGGAGAGGGCCAAGGGTTGGTGGGCCAGCCTGAGCACCTCACCTGGAATCGAGCAGCAAGTGGGCGCTTCTGGCCCATGACGCACAGGAGATGTTTCACTGAGAAGCATCCTAGAATCATATACTTTGGCGATCCCCATCAACTTCTGGGGCATGAAACACCTGTAAGTCAGTGGTCTCCAAAGTGGGGGGGCGCACGAGAAAATTCAATGGGCTAGAGAAAGAACGTTCTAGAACTTCCGTCCATTTTTATCTTTCTTTTAAAAGTTATGTCACATGTACGTTTTCTAATGTACATCATATATTGGCATCATAGTCTACGTGTTAACTGATAAGTAACCACGAGTACATGAGGGCGTCTGGTCCCTTTTCATTCTTACTGATGAGAAGGAACGGTAAGGGTACATGCTCCAAACCGTCTGGAGATCACTGCTGTAAACCATTACCTGCCTTATTTATTTTTAGTTACTGTCCTTTTTCAGTTTGTTTTCCTCCCCCATGTGCTGACTTTTATTTTGATTTTATTTATGTTTATGTTTAAGACATCCACACCTTCCTCTGCTAAAACCCTGAAAAATAGGCCTTGCCTTAGCCCCAAACGCCCCACTCCTGGTAGCTCAGACCCTTTGATCAAACCCTCCAGCCCTGCCGTGTGCCCAGAGCCATCTTCCTCTCCTAAACACGTCTCTTCTGTCACACCCCGAACTGGCAGTTCTGGAGCAAAGGAGATGAAAGTCAAGGTAAGGAAACCACCTTTGAAAAGAATCAGGCTGCTCTAATGTGGTTTTCAAATGTATGTATTTTTAGCTGCAAAGACTCTTCCTCAGATAAGCTCTTACCTAGAAGCACCACGTAGAACAGTTACAATTCTGGTTGATACAGGGATGGGGGCTCAGGGCCATCTTTCTAAGTTCCCCTTGATCCCCCATGGCAGCAGCCCCTAAGGCACCTGATGCGACCCGGTGTGAAAATCACCGCTTTAACTGGGCTCCTCTGTTTGTGGCTTTGGTAAGGAGAGCTTCTAGCTTGTCCTCGCTTGGGTGGGGCAGCATCACTGCGCACTAGTGGTTCTCCCTCCAGAACCATCTTGAGGTCCTTGGTTAATGTCAGTTTCCTTCTTGAGTTTTTGTTATCGACTGGGTAACCAAACCCAGCAACCGCCCCCGGTCAGCTGGCCATGCTTATGTACTTGCTCTCAAACTTTCGGCCGGCTTGCTCCTTGATGCTGCACTTCACCCGCCAAGGGCTCTTAGCACACCTAAGGATTCCTGAAACCAAAAGGTTGCTGGGGAGAGAACAAAAGACTATGACCCAGTTCTGTTAGCACCGTCAGTCAGGTTCAACAGCATCTTCAAAGGGCTCTGGTGAAACCAACCAGCATCAGTCAAATAAATCCCTAAGGAGAGCCAGAAAATGGGTGTCCGCGTAGGAATGATCTTCTAATGTCCTTCCTAGTGGTCGACCCTGTGTGGATAATGAACCTGATCGGCGCTATAAGCTCTATTGCTTTTTTATAAAATACGTTAGTTAGCACAACTCATGCTGACAACTCGTAAACAATTCCTGTAGGAGGAAACGATAGGGCGCTTGGCATTTGGGTGGGGCTGTGGATTTGTGTGCCCAGCAGACCCTTGTGATTGTAGAAGACATTTATTGCATCTAGCAGGCAAAGGGTCACCTCAGTCTTAGCTTCGCTTTGAGTCAAAGTGGTTGAGTAGGGCTGGCATCGACCCCCGGTGACAGTGACTTTCCCAATCATAAAAACCACCTCTACCATGCTTTGGTTTACAGGGGGCAGACACTAAAACCGGAACAAAGATTGCCACACCCCGGGGAGCAGCCCCTCCTGGCCAGAAAGGCCCGGCCAATGCTACCAGGATTCCAGCGAAAACCACACCGTCACCAAAGACCCCGCCAGGCACAGGTAAGAAGAATGTTCTCTGGAATCCAGTCCTCATCTCTCAAGGTCCTGGACAATTAATAACCTCTGGTAGTTAATCGATGCCTGTAGTTAACCAGTCATCAAAATAGTCATTTTATTTTTAATCTTTTTAACAATTTACTGAGGTAGATATTGAATCCCCACTTTTTATCGATGAGGAAATTGAGGCTCTGAAAGTTTGCATGACTAAGTCTAACCAGTGTCTTTTATGCATGAGAAAGATGCAGCCACATGCTAAACGGTGGCAGGAAAGAGGCCTCTCTGAGCTTCTCTGACCCCAAGTTCACCTCCTGGGAGGCATTCTTCAGCCCCCAACTAAGACTCGTGGGTGGTGTGCACTCCTTGGAGACAAAGCAGCAGCCCGGGTAGGTTACTACGGGTGACTCCACACAGGATGCGACCTCTGCATAGTTGACTAGCTGAGGATGACAGAGACACTCTGACAACCTGACAACCTGAGGGTCTTAGCTGAACTGTTGTAAGCTGCATCCATTCTCCTGGGCTCCTAGGAGTAAAAACCTGTCGGTTTTGAGTACCAGGCAAAGCTGCAGTAGCGTGATCTTGCTTCTGGTGGTGCTATTAAGAGTAGTCATCTTACATATGATTTTGGGGATTGAGGACAGCCAGGCTGAGCTCCTGTCTGCCACTATGATGTGTTCCAGACAAATGGGTCTAGGTTCTGCACAACTCAGGGGGCATCTGGCTTGCGTTGGATCTGGGGTGGTGCTGGGGGACTATGGAGCGCGTGTGGGTTGTGTGAAAGCCTAGGCTGGTTCAGTGGTGTCTCAGCTGCCTGTTGGCCCCAAGTGGCAACTCAGAGCCCTTTGCCTGCTGCACGTGTTTACCATGGTGTTTAGCCCAAGTTTGCCACAGGGTGGTGCCTGCAAGGACAGCAGCTCATGAAGGCCTGTTTGTTTTTCATGTAGTGTTTTTTCTCATGTACATAATACATATGATATGGGGTAATTAAAGAATGGCGATTGGATTTTTATATATGATTTTGATCCTGCTTTTTTTCACTCGACATTATACGAAGTGAAAAAAAGGGAGTAACTCACACGACTAACTGGAGCCATAACTGAAAACCAGA